GGATAGGAATGCCACAAGCAGTTTTCCTGTGATCCACCAGAAAATCCACCACAACACAGCTTTTCAGTATAAAAGCCTGAACATGGTTCTAAATCTGCTGAAGAAATAAACACACATCACAGCAAAATGTCATATATGGCAGATCTGATGAAACGAATGCCTCCTTTATACTACTAACTGTAATATAATAAAAGGGCATCATTGTTTTACTTAAATTAGGACTTCAGGCTAGATTTTCCTTTCAGTTATATCATTCTAAAAAGGGATACCTTTACTTGCATCTATAAGTTTACACTGATATAACACTGAGAAGGGAGAACAAGTGGACTTTACAGACTTATGCCCGAGAAGAATGAATCTTTCGAAAAGTGAACGTGAATACATACATGTACATACATATGCACATGAATAGATGCATTTCACCCACCTATTTCATCCCCTAGAGAGGAGTTCAGTATGGCACCGGCAGACATAACTACGGCACAGCTCCCAAAGCCATGTGTATACAATTTGCCCAGTGGAATTTGGGGAACGTGCTTTTCCCAACCAAGAGTGGAGAAGGGAGCTTCCTTGCCATCTATTGTTTTCACATTCACCCTTTCTTTCAGCTCACAGAAAAGCTGGTCTCCTGTCAGTTTGGAGTTTCGTTTCCCTTTGAAACGCACCCCATGCTTATTGGTGCTCAAATAATCTTTCATGGCCTTCTGCAGACGAGGGTTTAGCATCTTGGAAGAGACATCCCCTTTCCAAAGCTTGTAGAGAAAAGATTTCGACATCGTGGAATATAGCCCATCCCAGTCGTCAGATTCGTCAAGCATCTGGCTTCTCCTGTGCCTTGTGTTCCTTCTCCTCATTCTTCTCTGGTGGCTCCAGTTATTCTGTAAAACATTTTCCTTTGGATTACCCTCATTGGCAGAGATGAATTTTGCTATTTCTTGAAGGCTGTTGTGTGACTGAGGCTGACCAGCAGCAAATAAATAATCATTACTCGTGTGGTAGAAAGCACCTTTGGATTTTCTTCCTATCTGGGATGGAAAAAAATCATCTTCGCTTCTGAAGGCATCCTCTAAATCAGTCCATTTTTTAATACTTCCAGTCCCCGATTTAAATGTACCTAAAAGATCTTCATTAAGTACCACCTCATTCTCATCAATAGTTTCAGAGAATGATGGATCGTGTATGGCTCCCATTATGACTCTCTGCTTGCCCTGGATGGGCAGAAGCCTCTTAGTTTCAATGTAAGAAAAGGAACTGGGAACTGGCTCAGCAGTGTTGCTATCTGTAAAATAGATGAAGATCACCAAAAAAAGCAGCCCCCATGCAAAGATCCCAAACAGCATGAGTTGTTTCCATTGCTTCAAGTTAGGTTTCATGGCAATGCCTTTACCAGCTCCTCTGTGCCTTGAAGTACTGGTGAAGGGAAATGAAACCTGGAAAGAACATCAAATATTAATCAGGAAGAGTTCTAAAAATAGACACAGTTCAGAAATATTTTAGCAAATTTTGATAGAAAGTGCAGAATAAATCTCTATTCTGTAGCATGGGGGATTCAGAAGCAGGGGAA